GATGGCCATGCCGCAATCCCTTCTCCTCCATTCTCCTCTCGGGATCTTGGGCACGCACACACATGCACCCGGCGTGCGTTTAAAGCCACCGGGTCCAGGATGCGAACCGTGGTCAACTACGTGGGAGTCCAGCGACATAGCCATTATGCTAACTGCTAGTCCCAATGCTGTATTGCTTTCTGAAAAATTGAGAGCCCTTCTTAACAGGAGAACATGATAGTAACTTGAATATAAGCAAGTTCTTATTTTGTTTTTTAAGTTTATTCACTTATTTCTTCTGTGAGAGAGTCAGAGAGACAGGTACTCCCAACAGAGTCTTCATCGCTCGATCCAGCCCTCGCCTCAGCCTGCCCAGGTGATGGGCACGTGTATGTGTGCCAGTGTGCTCAGGGAGATCCTGGACGCAAGCCCAGGACTTTTCCTCTGTGAGCCCATTGCACTACCACTTGGTCTGTGAATCCTTCTTTGAAGAGCTAGTTTTAGAAGGGGATGTGCTAACTTACAAGGAATGAAGGGCTTAGAATTGCACTTGGTACAGAGACCATAAATACTCTATTGTGTTTAAAAATTTTAATTAGTTTCTTAAATGTCAGAGAACTCATGTGCATGCACAACAGAGAGAGAGAGGAAAAAAAACTCCCAATGGGACCTCCTCATGCCTTACTCTTCTTTTCCTCCATTTTTTTATCCCGTCAGCATCCTGGGAATGGCCGCACCTGCCCAGTGTGCTCTTCAAGCCACTGGGATGTGAACAGCGGTCAGCAATGTGAGATCTGGCTGCCTCTTCACAGCACTTTCATTCTGTGCAATGGAGCTGGCCCTTGATTTATTTTTAAAAGTGGCCCTTTATGCACAATTCTGACAGTTAAAAAATGACATGGGCAATAGGTGGTGTAGGTACTGAAAAGTGCCCTTTGTGGGCTGTCTTTATTTTATTTTATTTTATTTTATTTTATTTTATTTTATTTTATTTTATTTTATTGATTAAGCAAGTGTGTTGGCCTGGCACACACATGTTGAGCAGCTCATTTTATACAGAGCAACTTGGAGCCAGGCAATGTCGGGAGAACAGAATAGAGAAGGGTGATGTAAACTCTGTATTTAATTTTTGCAAGAGATTATATTCTTATATTCTTCAGAAAGTGTACCTCCTGAACCACAATGTGTAATGGACGGAGGGAATAACACAGACCAGAAAGGCTGGGAAGGCTTCATGAAGGCAGGATTCGCACTTGCCTTGGCCTTTGGAAGTAGATTTTGGGGAAATAATGTGCGGCTGTGTCTCAGAAAGAGAGGAACAGAGAGCGAGAGGTTCCTGTGAGCATGTTCAGGCACCTGGAAAAGGTTGGTGAGGCCGGGTTACAGGCCCTGTGGAGAGGTGGGCAAAGGCTGGAAGGAAATTGGAAGCAGGGTTGCAATGCTTTAATGTCAGTCTGGAGGCATATTTATCAAGAGCTTAGTATTAAGTGCTGGCATGTGCTGCTAAGACACCGTGCTCCTCAGGCGGGGACCACATGGGAGCCCCAGGTTTGATTCCCAAGCTGACCCAAAGGCCAGGTGTGCTGGTTGACACCCCCAATCCTAGTGACTCAGGAGACTGAGGTAGGAATGCAAGCTCAGGGCTGACCTGGGCTGCATAGTGAGAC